TATGTCACGTGACATACTTTATGACCTCAGACTTCCCCTTGACTCCTTGTTCATGGTAACTTCTTTGTCTCTTTGTAATTGTACATGTGTGTTTCTAAATTCTTAGCTGCCCATTGTTTTCCCCCGGTTAAAGGGCAGGGCGGCTCACACTGACACTGTGGGACAGCATAGTTAGAGGCAACATTGGAGGAGGCTGAGTAAATACGGCCAAAAATTAAAGTGGTACCTTTTACAACCAGTGCCCTGCGGTGTGTGTGTGTGGGTGTATCTGTGTCCTCGCATTTTCTCCGGTGAGCAGCAGGTGCTGACAGGACCCCCTTCATCTCTAGCTCCCCCTACAAACCCTGTTTTCTGTGTGTGTGCGTGTGCATGTGTGTGCCAGCAGGCTTGATCTGCTCAGTGTGGGTCTGATGTTAAAGTGATTCACAGGCGAGCAGTCACAAAGGCGATTGAGAGCAGTTGTGGGAAGAGAGGGACCTTACAGCCTCACAGATTTCAGCCCTGAGGGGGAGAGGAGAGAGAGACATAGAGACAAGGAAGAGAGAATCTAAACAGATTACAGAATACACAGAGATAATGTTTGAATGAATAAATGTGCATGGAACAGACGCAAAATGAATGACATCCTGCATGTTTTGGCCCTCACACGGACCTGTCGCTTAGAGGACGAGATAAAAATGTACTTCCTCTTGATAAAAAGCAGTCTTGCCTCTTCGTAATCACCCGGCCTATTCCCTGATCTCATGGGTTGCACACTCTAGGAAATGGCTCATACTCATGGAGTGATATCATAAACAGGAGACAGACCAAGCTCTCCCTGGCTGATTCGGCGAAGGGAGTACAACCATAGGCTCCTTAATGAAGCTGGGAGGTGACGTCTTTCAGGCTCAGTGTTCTCCTGGGTTTTCATTGTTGGTTCATGCTCCAAAGATCTCAGAGAAGGCCCTGTCTTATTTCAAAAATATCTTGTAAAATAATACGGCTTTACTGTAGTAAACCTGGACTAGGAAAATGTCCATCTTTCATTAAGAATGTTTTATTATGCTAATTTTAGGTGCATATTTTGTATTTTTAGCCTTTGCAGACCATTTACAGGCAGAAAAACCTATATAAACAGTCTGCAGGAAATGGATAACCCTCAAAAAGCACAACTAGGCCTATTTCACCCACAAAATGAACCTTTGATTATCAGTTACTCACCCTGTTTTAACTTGAATTATTGTCGAAAACGTGTTTTTCTTGCATGACTCCATTGCGAACGAAGAGTTCCAAACAGAGATCATTCTTTATGTATTGAAGTTAATGGGGGGGGGTCGTGTTTAGCAACACTTTTTAAAAAACATCGGTTTACTGTAACACAACTCATTCCTTATAATCCAAGTTTTATTTATCCAGCCCTATTCTAACTACTTCCCAAAACGTATGCATTTTTGTTAAACCATACTAACACTTGCACGGATGAGTTGAATGCCTGTGCAAACTGTAGACTGTTTACGCTTAAGTGTTTTAACTAAACAAACTTTTCTCTATTTTTTGGTTGCAAAAGGAAATTGGGGTTGAATGATTTATTTACAAATGGGCATTTCTGGAGGTGAAGTATCATTTTATATATAGTTTGCCCTCAAAATAGCATACTTTTATAAATATTTTGTATGTTCTGCAGTTGCCCTTAAAAAGTACTGTATATATTCTTGCAAGCAATACAATTAGGACATAGGCCTACTGTTCCGTCATAGCACTGGGCATTGACCTTTGACCCGCTTGACCATATGTATGCAGTGCAAAGGATTATTGGTCAGAAATGCATGCTTGAGTGCAATGTTCCTAAATGTGACAAGAAGCAGCAACACATCCTAGTATTTGGGCACATTGGAATTGACATGTATCTGGATATACTAAACTTTTCTCTAGCGTACAAAATCGTCTGGTAGTTTGAGAAATTTGAGAAAGTCCAAAAGTGTCTAGTAAAGCAGTAAATCCCCCCCCAAAAAGCTGAATGATTTTTATATATGAATCTGCAATGTCTGACCGCCACACAACCTCTTCATTTGTCACAGACGGCCAGAGTGTAAGCTCCGATGCGTCTGAAGTAAACCAGGCATGAACTAAGAGGCTGTTACGCATCACTACAGCCCTCTGAGCAGAGAGAGGAATAAAATATCCTTTCCCCCTTTTTGCTGTGCTTATGTGCAAAGGACAGACAGCCGCAGTGTCTCTGCCAGGGCATACAGGAGAGAGAGTGGGCCGCCGGCCATCTGGGTTTAGAGGTGTCTTTAAATGGCGGAGGTGTAAATCTACTGCCCATGTGCCGGAGGGGACGTCAGTTTCTCTCTGGCCCGCAGAACCGCTCGCAGATCAATAAAGTTAACTCAAAACATTCACACTCTGCCATCTGAAATCAACCATTTAATGAGTTGCTGTTCCTGTAAAAGCGGAAAAGGCCCCTTCAGATTTATTAGAACAGAGAGAGAGTAGAATTCCAGAGAAGAAGAAAGACGAGGAGGAGGAAAGAGGGAGGCAGAGCTATAGGTTTTCTGTTTGGATTCATTTCAGCAAATGTTTAAGAGCCACAAGATCTGTATGGAACACACAAATAAAAATGGCTTCTTGATCTCCTTTTTTATGAGAATGCATGCTTAAATAGAGGTGATTGGATGCTTTTGGTTAACCATGGAAAGCCTCCAGATGATAAAAGCAATGTAATGTATTTCACTAAGATAAAACCGAATATGATCCAAAAGCGGATCTGCTTTGCTGGAAATAATTTCGCCTGCAGCAAAATGGCTCTTCAGCATGTGACCGTAAACTTTTTACAAACAAGACCAAATGCTGAGTAAGAGGGTGAAGCGGTTGCCTTTCTACTGGCCTCCAGAATAACTCGCTCTCCTGATGGTGTTAAAGAAGTTCTGGCAAACTGTTTTAAACATTATACAAAACATTTGGAGACCTGGTCCTTGTTGCTTGTATCCATGAGTGGCAGTGTGGAAAACGGATAGTCCCTGATACATTTGATTAAGTGGCAGGTGAATATGTGTTGAGTGAGCATAATTGTTTAATGATGCTTAGCTGTCTTTACTGGAAGGGACGCTGCATTTTTTTGCCCCTTCCTCTTTTACGTGTAATATGGAGTTACCGTCTCTGCTTACTCCCTAAACTCCTCCCTCATCCGTTCCTCGAACACGGTCCATAAACTTACCTCGCCATGTTCGCCCAAACACCGCTGTCTACCTGAAAATCATCTGATGATCGGTTTATGCTGATGGAGTGCATCTTGAGTGTTCCATGTACTCTTTGCTTTCCACTCCAAATCTTTCACCCTAAACTACCGGCCCTGTGTCCTCCGGGGGGGCCTCACAGGAAGAGGAAGGAAGACAGATGAAATTGTCCTTTTTACAGCAATGTCTTACTTTTAGGGTTTACATTACTACATTATGAAGCAGATCCCTCCAGCATCTACCAGACAAAGAAGAGTTTCATGAGATTGTGTTACTTGCACACTCTGCTTTACGGCGCCTGCAAAGATAATCCTGTGTTAACAAGCACGCATGGAAAGAGTTAGACCGCAGACTCCATGTGGGGTGCCGTGTCTCATCAGGTGTGACGTTATGGGGATAAATCTGCGCATGCTGCCGGCCACGCATTGTGACAGGTGCTGACAGTTGACGGCGCAGGTCAGGAGTATGTGGCAGTTTGTGACACACTCACCCGTTACCTGTCTGGAGACATGTCTGCTCTGGGGATTATGTGACACACAGAGCAGGAAAGATGGCTAAACATGTGTGAGGAGCTAGCGTCTTTGTGCTGCTAATGGGAGTTTAATTTGATAAGCTGTTGGCAAATTTGTCAGCACTCAGCTGGGATGGAGGGAATTGGGCTGTGTATATTTTGGGTAAACATGAAGAAATTCACTCCAGGTTTCCGCTCTTTTTCTTACTGCCTGTATGTAGGCCTATATCCTATCAGTTTGACATGATCATGTAAAACAAAAGTAAGCGTTTTCTCCTGGAGGCCAAGGGAAGCCAGGCTTCCCCTGTTTTTTCGGATTGTAGTTATAATTTTAATAAATAAATAAAAACACTTCGTTTAGTTTCGGAAATTCTTTGTTGTGTGTTGCTGCCGGCCCGTCTCTCCCCCATTCTCATTGAGTATTTTACAAAGAGTGAAACAGCGCCCCTCTACATGTTATGGTGAAACAGTAGATTGCACTCTCTGTTGCGAGAGGAGGCCAGACGAAATTGGCTTCCCTTGGTGAAAAAATGGAGAGATTGACCAATCAGACAAGGCTCGCCATGCCTCTGCCAACCTGTGATTGGTCAGGGCCATGCCAAGGGAAGCCAGAGGCGGCTGGCTTCCCTTGCCTCACAATCCAATCAAATCGCATCAATTTAGTGTTGTAGTGACGCATCCTAAAACCCGGAAGTAAGCTGCGCTCGGTTTCCTGGGTGTCCCTCGACAAAAAAGCAATGGGATTTCTCCATAGGATTTTGGAAAATAGCTCGAAATAAGGTCAGTGGAAAACGAACCTGTTAGATAAATGCACGTTTTGTTCAGTCGGATAATATCCACATGTCTACCCTACTTTTATAATTTTCGAATCATAAATCTAATCGATAGAAGATAGATAGCGCCACTGCACCACTCTCACCGCCGTTAGAAAGTAGCAAGCAACTGAAGCAAGTGCAATTATGGGGGTGGAGATTTGGAGCATTAATCAAAAATAATTGTACTAAACTTCCGCTACAGCAGCAACAACAAATACAATCTGATGACAGGCCAATGCCCAAACTGGAGCTGTGTACAGCGAGGAAAAAAGCAACGAATCGGACGTAAAACGTTAAAGGTCTCCTGATTTAGTTTGTGAATGAATGCTTATTAACAGTGGCGGATTTAAGATTGTAGGAGATCAGGGGCTTAGCCCAGGAGTTGTTGGGGGGTGCAGGGGTACAGTGCTATTTTTTACAAGTGTGGGGTGGACCGAACATCCTTTATGGTGGTCGTCGCTTCCTCTCGGGGGGTCTGGGGAAAATCTTCCCCCGGGAAGATTTTTTTTTAAATATTGAAGTTGAAAGCATCAATCTGGTGCACTTGGAGAGCAACATTAACCCTACCTTAATAACACCTTAGAGCGGACAAAAGGCACTGGAGAACACTCATTAACACCCTTTAATGAAGCAAACTAATGCCTTAACTCACTAAAATAGTCGTTTACTTATTAAGGTGAAACGAATGTGCGTAGAGTTTTAAAGGATGCGGATAGTCTCACCTTGATTCTGGCGCATTGCTTATCGTTTTATAGATCTATTCTCATCCACCATCTTTGTTTGTGACGTAAAAAATGTGTAAGAGTCACGTTTCTGAATCGGACACTCTGAGTGGATGCAGTCACAGTCAATCGGAGTCTGATTCAGAGGGTTGCCTGTCAGTTCCGTTGTTATGTGTACTGAAACGAGAGCCGGTATAATTCCACACGCGAAAAAAAAAAAAAAAATGGAATACGTTATTTTAGTGTCTTAAAAGTAGACTGAGGTATGAAGGGTTAACGTTACATCTTAGGATAATTTTTAGTCATGTTCTGTATACATACTAACATAAGGGTATACTTAGTGTGGTTACTCCATGTTTACTAGCTATAACATTAACATCACATCACTCTTTTTCACTTCTTACTCAGTCAGCCAGAGTGCAGATATCACCATTAGATTAACAAACCTGAAACATCATCCATTTCTTGACTGCTGGTGATGACATTGTTGTCAGCTGCTGATACTGCTGCAGCTTGTGGCGCCTGCTTCGATGACAATAACTTTCTAATATCCATAACTGTATAGGCTATTAGCTTAAAACTCGTCAGGCACTAGGAAGGATCACTTCTTCTTCAGGGCAGGCTACGCAGTACGCAGGCTAATGTCCCGCAGCGGATGCCTCTCTGGTGGACTCCGGTACTGCACATTACTCCCGAGACGTTTTAAAAAAAGTGAAACATCCGGGGCTTTTCAAAACATCCGGGGCTTGAGCCCAAGTAGCCACCCCCTAGCGCCGCCACTGCTTATTAGAGTTTGGGCTGGAGAGTGCGTGCGGACCTGTCGGTTAGATAACAGGCGTGTGTAAGTCCTGCATCTGAATGAAACAAATGTGTGTAAAATGATACCGGGTGCTGTAATCACTCATCTGGTTACGTTATTACATTGACCACCACACCCCCGACCCAAAAGAAAGGACGTATTATTGGCTTCCCCTAATTTTTTTCCCACGCCACGCTACTGAAAGTGTTCGGGTGCATTTCCAAAGCAAAATGTTTTCTTGCTGGGGAAACAGTCCCAACATTTTCAGTAACAACGTAATTCAAATTGTTTGTAAGAGTAGAGTGAAAGGCTTGTTACAACTAATGTGTGTGTAAAGTAAACTACAGTTTTCCAGATAACTTTAGCTGGACATGCGGAAGCAGGGGAAACGGCTTTCCTGGCTTTAAGTGGAATTCATGAATGCACCTTATAATGATAATAATACATTATATTTGTAAAGCACCTTTCATTGCTAAAAGCAATCCCAAAGGTCTACAAGAGGCGTTACCAGGCAAGTATTACTAATTAACATGCTGTTTCTTTTATTCAGTACAGCCATTGCACATAATGGGTTTAAGCATTTACAAGAATATAACCATGGAATCATTAGCTAATCTCCCCATAGATTTAAAACAAAGGAGAAATGTACTGTACGAGAGAGATGTTTGACGTGAGCTAATAATGTGTGCCATTTCAAAAGACAATACCTATAAAACTGTGCAATTGACATTAAACAAATTGTTCAAGTAACTCAAAACATTTCGGGGAAGCCACTGCGTATGGCTGTTGTACCAAAGCTTGTTTCCAAAATGTTGGGATGCCTTTTTAAATATAACAATGCTGCTCAACGCACAATGTACTGCCTCATTGAGACATTGCTGCTTCCTTGGTGTTTAATGAATCTGGGAGTAAGGGAAATGGAAAAAGCATGACAAATCTGTATTTAGTATATTTGTTATTGTAAAGTGTAAAAAAAAACGTTAACAGTACAGTAATTAAACCCTAAAGAGGCGACTGTTGAAAGCGGGTTTAATCCCTGTAATAATACGGACTGTGGTGTTGGGCCTGTAGAGGGTTCAGTATGGGAGACATATGGAGCTGGGGGTGGTGATGGAGGCGCTGTAATGTAGTCACAACAGAGGGTTCAGAGCCAAAGGAAACAGGGGTCTCTCGCTCCTTCCTAAACAGGATGAGAAGGGGAGACCACACGCATGGCACATGTATACTGTATATGTGTCTAAGTATAGAATCAAACAGACCGGAGTTTTCCGATATATTTATTCTTGTACCTTTCTATGATTTTGGTTGATCCTGAAGTTCCTTTGGCTCCTTCTCTTTCTGGAACACTGTCCCCACTCTGTACCAAAGCACCAGCTCCCCTGAGGAACACGCTCTATGAATGGCTCTACTGTTATTCCTTTTATCTTCTTATTCCTCCAACTCCTCTTCCTCCTCCTCCTGGACAGGAAGTGGACAGAGATAGACCGTATTATCATAGATAAGCGTCTTTTCAAACACATCAATATTTTGCAGCAGATTTCTTCTACATCTAAACCTACACACTAACAATTCTCTAGGACGTTTATGTCTTTATTACTTTATGAAACATACTTATAAGGCATTATAAACATAGTTATAATGCCTTAAAATCTGCTATAGCACTGTGTTATAAAGTTTTAAGCACTAATACATTTTATTTTTGTCAAATAATAATTTCACAATTTGAATCATCTTATAATGAGTTATTAGATCAATTGTTAAACTGCATTATATCTTACATATTTGTACCTAATTCTTAAATAATATTTCACTGTTATACTTCATTTTGATTATACATGTGATACTTCATTTTGATTATACATGTGATACTTCATTGTGATTACATGTGATACTTCATTTTGATTATACATGTGATACTTCATTGTGATTACATGTGATACTTCATTGTGATTATACATGTGATTGTTTGCATAGGTAAAGTGAAAAACATAATTTAACAATGCATAACATTTCGTATAATATAAGGAATGATAATGCACTGTTAGTGAACAATTGTGATACTTGACCTAATACTGTAAGTCATTACAAACTTCTTAGTTTTTTTACAGCGTTATATGCAGATTATAACACATAAGTATGTCT